GCGGATCTCGTAGGCAACATGCACACGTGTTCCCTCGCCAGAGTCCGTGTGGCGTTCCCCCTTTCCCCTGTATCCCCCTATAACCCCAGGGTACCCCATGAGTATTTAGCTTAGTTAACATCTTGTAGAAAAACCTACGATATGCCACAAAAAACCTACGAAATATCAAAAAAAAAAAACGACGAGATGTCACTTTTCAAGATACGTAATTTCCGTGCCGATGCCTCGTTGCTAGACTATCCAGAGTCTCCCTGCATTGCAATACATCGCAGCCTGGCTGTCGGTAAAGACTGTTATGCTTCTCCTAGGCCCTTCCCCCTCCAGAATGCGGGATACGCAAAGATTTCCGCCTGGAAAATAGTAGTTTTCCGCCGAGAGGCAGATATATGTTGATAAAGACCAAATACCAGATATCAGGAATGGTCAGAAGATGCCACAAATCACTTCATAATACGACAGGTCGTTCGTCGGCAGTTTTGCTGTGAGCTCGGATTATAATTTTAACGTCGACGACCGACATCAACAAAGCCAGATACTGCTCTGGGGATAATTTGTAAAAAGAGGCTCAGCTAAACGATAGTTATTTATTTACACCGTAGAATTGAGACAAGCGCCCCCCGAAAAATCTTTTGTTAGTTGACAATATGTATAAAACCTTGACCAAAAACAATTTGAACCAACGTAAATGGCCTTCTTTTCTAAGGCTAAAACGTTTTGCTGTGAGCTCGGATTATAATGTTAACGTCGACGACCGATGTCAACAAAGCATGCATTGACAAATACCGACACGAGCAATGCACAGTCGCGTTTGTGTTTTTCTGTTTTGCGGATGTAAGTGTGAGTAGAAGGAATCTGTCATCGCATGGTATTAACTACGACTTTTCAATAATCGGCCTTTCAATGACCATGGATTTCATGGTCCACACACCCTAGATACATTTATAAAGACCGAAGATCAGATGGTAGAAACGGTCAGAGGACGCCAAAAATACTTCTTAGTGAAAATCTTGCAGGCACTTCATCAGAGCCTGGCTGTCGGAGAAGATTGTTATTATTCTCCTAAGCCCTTTCCCCTCCAAAATGCGGGATACGCAAGCCAGAATTGCAAAGATTTCCGCCTGGACAATAGTTCGTTCAGTTGATCTAACCGCACCCCCGACAGATCGTTCTTCAGCCGATTTGCTGTGAGCTCGGATCATAATTTTAATGTCGACGACCGACGTCAACAAAGCGAGGGATTGCACTGGGGATAATTTATAAAAAGAGTCTCAGCTAAACGATAATTATATATTTACACCGTAGAATTGAGCCAAGCGCCCCCCGAAAAATCTTTTGTCGGCTAGTGAGCATTGGAAAGCGCTGGCTCCTACATCATTAGTTGACAATATCTATAAAATCTTGACCAAAAACAATTTGAACCGACGTAAATGGCCTTCTTTTGTAAGGTTAAAACGTTTTGCTGTGAGCTCGGATTATAATGTTAACGTAGACGACCGATGTCAACAAAGCATGCATTGACAAATATCGACGCGAGCAACGCGTTGCCACGCTTGTGTTTTTCTATTTCGCGGATGTAAGTGTGACTAGAACGACTTTTCAATAATTGGCCTTTGAAGGAGCATGGATTTCATGATCCACACACCCTAGATACATTTATAAAGACCGAAGATCAGATGGTAGAAACGGTCAGAGGACGCCAAAAACACTTCTTAATGAAAATCTTGCAGGCACTTCATCGCAGCCTGGCTCTCGGAGAAGATTATTATTCTCCTCCTAAGCCCTTCCCCCTCCAAAATGCGGGATACGCAAGCCAGAATTGCAAAGATTTCCGCCTGGACAATAGTTCGTTCAGTTGATCTAAACGCACCCCCGACAGATCGTTCTTCAGCCGATTTGCTGTGAGTTCGGATCATAATTTTAATGTCGACGACCGACGTCAACAAAGCGAGGGACTGCACGGGGGATAATTTATAAAAAGAGTCTCAGCTAAACGATAATTATATATTTACACCGTAGAATTGAGCCAAGAGCCCCCCGAAAAATCATTTGTCGGCTAGTAAGCATTGGAAAGCGCTGGCTCCTACATGATTAGTTGACAATATCTATAAAATCTTGACCAAAAACAATTTGAACCGACGTAAATGGCCTTCTTTTGTAAGGCTAAAACGTTTTCTGTGAGCTCGGATTATAATGTTAACGTAGACGACCGATGTCAACAAAGCATGCATTGACAAATACCGACACGAGCAATGCGCCGTCGCGTTTGTGTTTTTCTATTTCGCGGATGTAAGTGTGACTAGAACGACTTTTCAATAATTGGCCTTTGAAGGAGCATGGATTTCATGATCCACACACCCTAGATATATTTATAAAGACCGCAGATCAGATGCTAGAAACGGTCAGAGGACGCCAAAAACACTTCTTAATGAAAATCTTGCAGGCACTTCATCGCAGCCTGGCTCTCGGAGAAGATTATTATTCTCCTCCTAAGCCCTTCCCCCTCCAAAATGCGGGATACGCAAGCCAGAATTGCAAAGATTTCCGCCTGGACAATAGTTCGTTCAGTTGATCTAAGCGCACCCCCGACAGATCGTTCGTCAGCCGATTTGCTGTGGGCTCGGATCATAATTTTAATGTCGACGACCTACGTCAACAAAGCGAGGGACTGCTCGGGAGATAGTTTTGTCGGCTAGTGAGCATTGGACAGATTTTGTAATGCGCTGATTCATACAGCATCAGTTGCCAATAACCTTTAACATATTGAATAAAAACAATTTAAACCAACCCAAATATCGTCACGAGCAACACGCCGTCGCGTTTGTGTTTTTCTATTCCATGTGTGTGTCGGTACAAGGAATTTGTCATCGCTTGGTAATAACTACTTTTTAATAATAATTGGCCTTACAATGAGCATGGATTTCATTAGCTCTTTCGCGGAGTGAATCCCGGACGCATTTTAACACTATGGTATAGAATTCGGCACCAGCCTTAATTTTATTGGTCAATTTCAATTTATTCAACCAATAACAAGCCGGGTGCCGAAATCACTACCGGAATGTTAAACAGTGCTGAGCATGGGGTGAGAATGTTATCAATTTAAATTTAAATTTACTTACCTTCCGCTAAAAATACGTAAGATAATAATCAACGCACGTTGTTTCCTATTACGATATTTAATGATTTTAAAATTAATAATTTGGTTTAGCAATAAGAAAAATTACATGAAAAATTTATATATATTTATATAAGTGAAAAATTAAAGCTTCCGCCTTTTGTTGGGTACTTCCACAAAATTTAAGCAAGGATGACTCTTTATACTTTTTTTATTCTCTCTAGCTTTCAATGGTCTTTGCCATCATCATCACGAGAGTAGTATGTGAGGATGTTGCTAATTGTTGTTTACGTTAAGGATGAGGGAAACACCCAGTAACATGGTGAAAGCTGGATAAATGGTACAATGGTCAAAATTATATAAAATACACACACCTGTATGACAAGAACAAGTTAAAAACAGATACAAATTTTTTTTAGAAATTGACAGTTAAACATTACATCGTGAAGCCACTTGATGATTGCACAAAATGGTGGGCATGTGACAATGACCACGTCTCAAGTTATATTTATATATATATATATATATAAAGAGAATATGATCATGCGGAGAAAGGTACATAACAACAAGTAGGAAAATAACGGGCAAAATCCGCAAAAAGGAGGAAAGTGGATTCGAGCAGAAAATAGGATAGGTAACCCGAGCGATACGTATTTCTGCTGGTTGGCTTCATCAGGCCCGAAATGAATGCACATATGAAACTACAAAAGTAGATACACATGCCCACACATCCGGATACGGGTGTAACCTGATGAAACGAAGTTGGAGGGGGAAAAAAACGACACACGAAGTCCACAACAAGAGCCAACCTACACATTGTAGTATAAAATGGATATACGACCTCGAATTTTCAAGGAGACGTCTAACCACAACCACGCGGCCGGTTATAGCCACTTGCTGTGGTACTTCAAGCCCCAAGGATCTACAAAGAGAATATGATCATGCGGAGAAAGGTATATAACAACAAGTAGGAAAATAATGGGCAAAATCCGCAAAAAGGAGGAAAGTGGATTCGAGCAGAAAACGAAGTTGGAGGGGGAAAAAAACGACACACGAAGTCCACAACAAGAGCCAACCTACACATTGTAGTATAAAATGGATATACGTCCTCGAATTTTCAAGGAGACGTCTAACCACAACCACGCGGCCGGTTATAGCCACTTGCTGTGGTACTTCAAGCCCCAAGGATCTACAAAGAGAATATGATCATGCGGAGAAAGGTACATAACAACAAGTAGGAAAATAATATATATATATATATATAAAGAGAAAATTAGCATGCGGAGAAAGGTATATAATAAAAATAGGAAAATAGTGGGCAAAATCCGCAAAAAGTGGATTCGAGCAGAAAATAGGATAGGTAACCCGAGCGATACGTAGTTCTGCTGGTTGGCTTATATATCGCTCGGGTTACCTATCCTATTTTCTGCTCGAATCCACTTTTTGCGGATTTTGCCCACTATTTTCCTATTTTTGTTATATATATATATATATATATATATATATATATTAGTAGAAGCAGTTTAAATTGATAACATTCTGACACTGTTTTCAGCACTGTTTAACATTCCGGTAATGATTTCGGCACCCAGCTTGTTATTGGTTACATAAATTGAAATTGACCAATAAAATTAAGGCTGGTGCCGAATCCTATACCATAGTGTTAAAATGCATCCCGGACGCCTTCATCTTATCATCGCATGCGCACTAAAAAAAATACCGTTCGTGGTGACAAAATTTGTTACTCGGGATTAAAAATTCGTTGTTCGTGGAACAACTGTGTTAAGTTCTGAACGTGCTCGTAATGTGTTCGACAGATCCGCTGATAGACGGAGGGATTTAAAATTCAGAACAAATCCTAACCTATAATTCTGTGTCTTTGTGATATAAACAAACATTTATCTTAAATCTGCTTTCAAGATGATGCCAATGATGCATTTAAGTTCAAGTGACGAAGATTTGGAAGAATTGTTTGAAGTTCCAAAAAATGAGAACTTTTGTGAGGAAACTGTGCCCCAACGATCAACAGTTTTTGGGGCATTTTAGGATAAGCAGGGAAGTAGCAACCCAATTATCAAACAGATATGAAGCTTCGCAATATTATCACTACCAAAAAGGTGACTCTGAAAAAATCAGCCCTTTTAAAACAGTTGTGGCCTTTTTATGGTATGCAAGCAATGAAGCGGCAAGCTTAAGGGATGTATCTGACCGGTTTGGGATTACGATTAGCTCTCTTCATAAAACTGTAAAGAGACTTACGTATTTTTTATCCAATTTGTCTGCGGAATTTATAAAATGGCCAACTAACGAGGAATTGAAATTGAAAGCCACTTTAGGCAAGACGAATTTCCTGGCATTATTGGCGTCATTGACACATTGAAATTGACAAGCCACAGGATGACTCAGATTGATACCTTAACAGGAAGCACTTTTTTTCGATCCAGGTAAGAAAGCAAAATTTTAAATTTCAAATTAAATGTTATTCAAATATGAATGTTTATATAATATATTTTATTTTTTACAGGCACAAGTTGTTTGCGATCATAAAAGGAAAGTAAGGGATATATTTGTCGGATACCCAGGATCCGTACATGACAGTCGAGTGTTTCGGACATCACCATTATTTGGAACACTTCAAGAAAAATGTGGAAACCACTTTATTATTGGAGACAGTGGTTACCCTTGTGTACAATATTGCCTAACTCCATTTCAAGATAGAGGTAATTTGACTCGTCGCCAAGGAAATTACAATTATCTTCTTTCGAAAATTCAGACAACTTTACCATTTGAAATCAAGAAATGTCGAATTATGTGTTCACTTCATAAGGGCCTGTGCTGTATTGCACAACCTTTCAATAGAAGACAATTTACATGATTTTGAAGATCCACCAGCACCAGAAGCACAGAATGAAGTAATTGTTGGACATGCAGGAAATGAAAATCAGGATGAACAAACTGGGATAACAAAAAGAAATGAAGTAATGAATAGCTTAAATTTTGTAATTTAGTATGTAATGTGCACGAATTTTTAATAAAAGCTTTTTGAAATAAATTTAAAACAAGTAGTGTTTATTAATTAACTAAATAATGAAAAAATAAATAAACAAAAAAAAACAACGAAATTCTAAAAAAAATAAAAACTGTACAATTTAAAACTTAAATTATACTAATTTAAATTTGATCTGAATAAATATAGAAAAACAACAAAATTCTCTTAAAATATGTAATTCAAAAGTTAATATCTAAATTCTTTGAACAAAAAAAATAAACCTTTTAAAGGATATCAAGGTGTGGATTAGATCTTTCTAAATATTGTTTTAATAATTCATTTTTTTCCTGTAGAATGTCATTTTTTTTCTGTTAATTTTCTCTCCTCAATTTCCAAAAGTTTGTTGTAAAATTCTTTTCTATCTTTCCGAATTTCAGATAAAATTGTAACATTAAGCCTTTTATTTTTATTCATATTTGTAACCCTTTGAGGAGCTGTTACATGAGTTGCCCTGCTGCTGGTGCTGAGTAGCTCCTTGGTTTTAGGAAATTGTACCAGATTTTCATTTTCAGGATTATCTCCTGTAACGCCCTGTGTTGTTGGATGAATAATTGTGTCGGATGGCGATAATGCAACAGGATGAATGCTTCGTTTTTTTACCCAAAATATCTCCATTGCTTCTGCCTACTCAAACTCTCTTCTTCCTCTTCCAGTTTTATTGTTGTTGTCCACATATTTCTTGAACATTCTCTCCAGATGTTTCCATCTGTTTTCACAATTTGATCCTGTTATATTTTGATTGGTTTTTTCTTAACTCCTTAGCAATTTCTTCAAATATTTTTTTAAAATTTTTAATTTTTAAAGACCCAACCAAGTCTCTATATTTTTTATATAGGTCCAAAAAAATAAGAGTCTTGGTGTAATTCCATTTAAAGGATTCCACTTCATCCTGGTCTTGAGAACATGAAGGAAATAGCAGAAACTCTGACAGATCTAACAAAATAGTAGTTATTTATTTATTTATTGATGGGTTGAAAAAACTTACCTCCTTTATCAGACATTTAAAAATAAATGGGCGACACACTTGCTGGACTTGATAAAAAAATACTTAAATTCAAATAATAAAAATCAAAACAAAAACTCTAACCTTACTTTTGTGCAGAATGAATTTGGTACGTTTTGCTGTTCGCGGACATTAAAAATTCCGAATTAATTACATCACGCGCTTGCGCATTTCAAACATATCGGAGGTGCTTTATTTGTGTTCGGAATATGCTCTACAGTATATTCAGATAAGAGATAGACCGGATGTAAATAAAAGGTTCGGGTGATTTTCACGCTAACGCCGCCGGCTCGACGTAAAACAGGAGCCCTCATTGGTCAATTCGCAATTAAATGCCTATGCCGAGCGGCAGAGCAGTCGTATCAAGGCAGAGTCACATTCAGGTTCAGACGTGTTACGTATGTCGTGTGCATCATTGCAATTTGATATTTCTTTGGACGTTTTCGTTTGTTATCTTATTAGGTTGTTGAGTTTGTCGTTGTTATTGTTATACCTTGTTATTGTTATCAACTGCTTGCGCAAAATGCCCAGTAGTACAGATACTGCCGATGAAGTTGTAAACTCCTGTAGTCCACCTAGGAAACGCTCTACAAAAAGACACCTGAGTGCAGAAATGAAAGAGGTCATTTTGAATATATATGAGATCGAGCGCGAGGAGAACGAGGCATCAACCATCAAAGAAATTGTTGTGAAGGTTTCTCACAAAGTTGGGGTGTGTCGCGCATCAGTGTTTAATGTGTTAAGACAATACAAAAAAAATCACACCTTTTCTGAGCCAATGACCAGTAAACATCGCAAAAGTATTGTTAAATGATTGGATGAAGCTGATAAGCATGCGATTAGGAGGAAAGTGCATGAATTCTTCTTTAGGAATGAAATACCTACTATAGATAAAGTACTGCAGGAGGTAAATGGAGATACAACGTTGCCAAATTTCAAACGATCAACTTTCCATGCGTTACTGAAGCATTTAAATTTCAAATGGAAAAAACGGGGTCGTAATAGTTTACTACTGGATAGAGAAGAAATTGTGCTATGGAGGAGGGATTATTTAACAAAAATTGGGAAATATAGAAATCAAAACAGGAAGATTTATTACCTTGATGAAACGTGGGTAAACGCAGGACACACTACAAGTAAAGTATGGGTTGATGATTCTGTAAGTTCATCCAGGAGGGCCTTTCTAGATGGACTGTCCACCGGATTAAAAAATCCAGCAGGTAAATACGAGTAATAGACAACAATCGGATGTTTTTCAATCCTTGGGAACAAGGTTCTAAACATTAATTCCATGGGGCAGATAAAACATATTACAAGTAACAAAACTTTTATAACTTTCGATAAAATGCGTGGATGTTTTATTGTCATTTTCATTTGTTAGAACTTTTTTAAGCCATGTTTTTATGTGTTTTCGATATTTCAATAATTTTTTAATATAATCTTAAAATATGTCGAATATTATAAACTTAAAAAAAGTTACTAAGTTTTATATTGTGTACCGTTCCTAATACTTCTAATCATTTTAATTCATACTTTAAGCTTTATAAAGTTATAATTTGTTAATATTAATATTTGCGCGTATTTCAGGTTCCTGATCATTCATTTTTTAAAGGTTTATAACTTTAAATTAAATTGTGAAGCGCTGAGTAATCATACGACGTTCAATATTCTTTCTTTCAATATGACTAAATAATCCCAATTATAGCAATCTGATACTCATGTCTCAATGTTTTTTCGCTGAATGTGATGAAAACATTTGAAAAAGGTTCGCTTATTGAAATAAATCTACACCAGTTAATACTTCGATTTCCAGGTAAAGGGAAAAGGCTCATTATCTGCCATATTGGCAGTGAGGATGGATTTGTTGTTGACGGTCTGTGGTGCTTCGAGTCTAAGAAAACTGGAGATTACCACGAGGAAATGAATGGCGAATCGTTTGAACAGTGGTTTTCAAAAATTTTACCGAACTTAGAGGAAAACGCAGTAATTGTGTTGGATAATGCGCCTTATCATTCTCGAAGAAGGGAGAAGGTCCCAACAACGGCTTCAAGGAAAGTTGATGTTCAAAATTGGCTCCGCTCGAAAAATATCAACTTTGAAGAAGCAATGCTGAAAGTACAATTATTAAGAATTGTCAAGGACCACAAGGCGGAATATCAAAAATACGCCATTGACGAAATGGCAGCAAGTCAGAATAAAACTGTGCTCCGTTTATCTCCATACCATTGCGAGCTCAATCCCATTGAGCTCATATGGGCAGAGGTTAACAATTATATAGCTAAGCACAATACAACTTTTAAATTTTGTAACCTCAAAGGACTTTTCAAAGAAGCACTAGAATTAATAACAGCGCAAAAATGGGCACGCGAAAGACAAAGTTGAAAAGAGAATGTGGGAACTGGACAATATTTTAGAGGAACAAGTCGAGCCCTTCGTTATTGACGTTGGTGCTTCAGGCAGTAGCGATGATGAAAGCTCATCAAGCTCATCTTTCCAATAAAAGATGTCGTTCATCAAATTCGGTAAGTTATAAGTAATTATAAAGCTACTGTATTTTTTAATTAATTATTGACATTTTTGAACCCATTTTGGCAAAACCTATTCAAGAATCTACTTTCTGACAATGTTCAACCATGCACATTTTTTTACGTTTTGAACGTTTTAATTTGGTTACATATTTACCTAGAAATCAAAAAATATACTAATCAATATTCTAAAAGCAATTTTAAGAGATATACGATTATTTTTAATTTAGGCTAATTTAAACGCCATTTTGAGATTATATTCGACTGTATTTCACCAAGCATCAGGCGGCATCCGAAGCTGGAAATCGAAGCGAAAATTTTGAAACCCTTATGTATATTTACATCATTATATATTTCTTACTCCACCCCCACATGATCCTATATCCATCACCAATCGTATACACATCGAATTGTGCTAATTTACTACAAAGTTACGCAAAGCAGCATCTACTATCTAAAATATGTACTGCGTGACTCTTAATACGTCCCTGCCGAATGTTACAGCGTTCGATGATCACGTGGTCTTGTTTATGTCCGGTCTATCTCTTATCTGAATATACTGTAGATTAGCTCCGCGAAAAAAGCTATTATCCACACACCTTAGATATGTTGATAAAGATCGAAGATCAGATGATAGAGACGGTCAGAAGATGCCAAAAAACGCTTTTTAATGAAAAAAGTACAAGAATATCATTAAACGGGTGTAGCTGGTATAATGGGGATAATTTGCCTCAGCTAAACGATAGTTATTTACACCGTTCGTTGAGTTGATCCAAGCGCACCCCCGACAGATCGTCGGCCAGTGAGCTTTGGAGAGCTTTTGTAAAGCGCTGGTTCCTACCGCGGTAGCACTCCACGGCTCTGCGTTCAGGCCCCGCTGGATATCGACATAATTGCGTTAGCGCTACGCGCTGCACCGTGTCGACTTCCGAATCGCGCGCGATCCCGCGAGCCGATTGCATGTTCGCGTATGTCAATCCGGGATTCACCGATATGTCCGGTGGGTGCGACGACCAATATTTCAACAATACGGTCGAGTATAAACCTGCGGCTATAAACTCCAATGAGTGTTGTGCTGGTGAAACTTTCAGAAGTTTTGACGGACTTTCGTGGCACGAGCATGTGTATAGGAAGTTAAATAACAAACCAACACCGCATTACATCGAGAATATTTTGGGGTTGCACAAAAGTGATAGTGAAACAGAGATGAACAAGAAAGTTGAAGGGTCAGAGACTTGTACGGAGCAACCTGGTGTTACCGATGTTAATGAACCACTTAACTTGTCGGTTAAGAGCCAGATCAAAGTACGAACGCGAAACCCAAAAGGTAATTTGTCTTTTCTTTTTTATAAACTAAGAAGTATCGACTATTACCAAAGCTTCTATAACAGCGATATTCTGATATTCAGACCGCAAAGTACCTCTCATGGAACATAACCATTAGGAAAGACTTGTTCACTAATTTTCTGAAATAGCTTGTCTTTAAAGGCATTCAATTGTTTTTATAATCTTATGAGTAATTTTGCACTACTTCCTTTTTGGAAAGATTGCTTATCGCCACCCAAAAATCACAAAGCACTCCAAGTGACGGGAGTTAGACATCAAAAGACATTCAAGAAATGCTTTTTTGAGTAGGTATGTTATATTTTATTAAAAATAGTGCAATAACAAAACAACTCCGCATTACATTGATAATATTATAAATTGGAGTTAAACAAAAGTGATGGTGAAACAGAGACAAACAAGAATGTTGAAGGATTAGATACTTTTATGGATCAACCTAGTGTTACCGAGGTTACTAAACCACTTGTCTTATCGGTTAAGGCGGCTCCGACGCAGTGAGTTTCAAGCCATTTACAAGGGTTCAGCTGCTTCAAAACTGACACTCCATTTTTCAATATTTTTGAATGAAATTCATACAGTATGTTGAGAAGATAATTGCCCAGGGTGCTATAGGAGTACTTTTTGAAATTTTGTTTTTGCACAACTTTTTTGATGGGTTGAAGTGCGCACTTTCTCTGTTCAACTTCGCGAGTTTTTTAAAAAGAACCTAGTGAAAAAAATGAAAAAGTGGCTCTATAGCACCCTGTGGGATTTTGTTTTCAGCACTTTGTGAAAATTTCATCTAAAAATAACAATAAATAAAGCGTCAATTTTGAAGCGCGCAAACCTCTACAAATCGTATTTTGGACGAATTTTGTCTACTGTTTCGTGCTGTCGACACAAGCGTTGCGGCGCAATGTACGGACTAAGAAAGGACGTATTCAGATAATTTGGTGGCCCTATTTCATATAATATCGCGTAGATAAGTCGTTCTGCAAATAGGTACTCATAATCGCGATCGCTGATATCCTCGATTTTAAAGCGGTTTTACTTCTCACGTCACTGGCGAGGAAGTATTGTAATCGCGAAAAATTTCTAAAATGAGATATTATGTTTTTTTTAAGTCATATGACATCTAGGACATCACGAAAAACTGTATCACTCATCATCAACTTGGAAATTACCGCTCGGATTTTTATGAAATTTCCACACGCGGCTACTAGTATGCCAAAGCTTTGTAGTTTTAGTCCAGTGGCAACGGTGCTATAGGCAAAAAAGAAAAAGTAACAATTGCTGAAACTCATGTTTCAGAGGTTCCTAATAATTGACATAAAACATTTTACTGCTTAAAAAGGGGGGGGGGGTGAAATCAGTGAAACACGTTCTATTACTAAGTAGCTTCTGATCCCAGTGATTCCAGGAAATTTAAGTATCGAAAATCCGATGATTAATGCGCTAACGATTTCAAAAAATCGGTACCTGCTCTATAGGTTTGACATCAACAGCCAACAGATCTGCAACTACCGACAGTAGAGAAGAATAAATTCGGATATCACTCCAGTCAAGTATAGGGGAATTTAGCGTGGAACTTTAAAATTATCGATATGTCAGGAGATATGTTTTTTAGAACGATCATTTGGTTCGATTCTAATCCCAGAATTTATCATGAGGTTCATACACGGCAGTCACAAAAATTAAATGTTTTGGCTGGTATTTTTTGCGATCATTTAGTTGGTCCTTGTTTCTTACCTGGCAGTTTGACCGGTGAAATGTATTTGGAATTACTGGAAGACGCCATAGATCCTGCATTAACAGCCATAATTGAAAATCAGAATGATCGGCGGTACATTGCGAATAGGTTGATGTTCCAACAGGATGGTGCCCCACCACATTACGCATTACGTGTTCGACAATATTTAGATCAGACGTTTCCAGATCGATGGATTGGTAGAAGAGGTGCCATTGAATGGCCACCAAGATCGCCAGATTTATCACCTTTGGATCTCTTTATGTCGGGTCATTTGAAAAGCAAAATCTATGCTACTCAGCCAATGAGTGCCTTCAAATTACTCCTCAAATATTACAAAATGTGCGGCAATCTTTATTACTGCATGGAGAGTCATGGTGGCCATTTTCAACATTTACTTGCCTAAAGGGTCAGTTCATTCTTCATTTTTAAATTACTTTGCTGCCAAATGTATTGATCTCCACCAATGATGATGTATTAGTTTTATTTAAGCTTTAAATCAATAAATCTTCAAAACTACTGAACTGAAGTACATTACTTTTATATCATTATAAAGGGAATTGAAAGACCTTTAAAATAAGGTATCACTCGACCCCCCCTTTTCATTTAAGATTTTGGGGGTAGTGTCACCCCCACTTAGGGGGCTGCACGTGCTAACGAGATTTTTTGCCAAACTTGTGTCCCCGTCGAAAACAAAATCGACGGGTCTGAGCGTTTTTCGAAAAAAAAAACTGAGCCGCCAGTAAATGCGTCTGTTTCGTTTTCGATGCGCCACCCTGTATATGGTTAGTTCTGCCTGTCACTTGTGAATCTCGGTGTAGTGCGGGGTTCTTATGTTAGAGATTCCATTTTGTGGAGCTCATGTATATGTTATATAATATGGGTATCAAATGATAGAGTTTAATGAGAGAAATGCAACAAGCAAACTGACGTCATTCTATATCCAATATGACGAAGGCCGAAATTTGGCGATTTATAATTTCTATAGTCATGCTTATAATATGGGCATCAGATGAAAGGGCTTGAGAGAAACAAATCACAATAAGCAAAGCGTCGTAATTTCAAATCAAATATGTCGACCACCGCGAGATGTCGTTTACAATTTCTATAGTTACCCTTATGATATGGTTATCGACTGAAAGAGCTTGATGAGAGACACACAGCATTCTAGATGCATTCTGGCGTCCGTCGTAAAATATCGATTTATAATTTCCATATTATCGATATCAAATGAACACGATTGATGAAGGAAACACAATAAGCAAAGTGACGTCATTTTAACCTAATATGTTGGACATTTAATACGTCATTTGACAACGCAATATCATGACATGGAGACGATCCAATGTCGAATCCAGGAAGTGGCCATGGGAACTCATCGAATAGAGCCTCGCTTGATTCTTAATGACATGAAGGTACTCCACTCTTACGGTCAACTGTTGCGTAAAAAATACTCATCTGTAAAACTATATCAAATTTCTCTTCAACATTAGATAGTTCGCTGAAATGTAGGTTTAGTTAATTGCGAACGAATACTTTATAGATATAAGTACGTCTCCCGTATTTACAAGAATTTTTTATAGTTTGCATGTTTCTTTTATGATCTTGAAATATGCTTACATATAAATAACTATTGCTTACGTGGATAAAACAGTAACAAAGATCCCATAAGAGTTATTCTCGTTTTTTCGTACATTCTTATTTATATTGTCTGATTAAACTTGGCGTTATGATATCCAATTTTTAAATTGAGTCACTTTTTTGGAAATCTCACTTTTCTCATTTAAATTCATGATTTGCATCGGAAGTATCGACCAATCACAAAGCTTCACGCGCAACCTTCACCTTCTCTAACAGCGCACTGTTATAGAGATATTCTGATATTCAGCCCGCAAAGTACCCCTCACGGAGCATAAAATAGGGAAACGTTTATTAGCCAATTTTCTGAAATAGCTATTCTTTAAAGGCACTCAATTGTCTTTAAAATCTTATGAGTAATTCTACAGTACCTCCCTTTTGGAAAGATTGCTTATCACCATAAAAAATCTTGAAGCGCTCCAAATGACACGAGATAGATATAAAAAGACATTCAAGGAAAGTTCTTCTGAGTAGGTATGCTATAATTAATTGAGATAAAATAAGTCTTCTCCATTTGATATAATATGACCCATTTTAATCACGGGCGCGCGCAGAGATTTTTCTCAGGAGGGCTGATCATGGGCAAGAGACATTTTTGTATGAAAGTGTACCTGGCTCCAAAACTGTTTTAAGAGCAGGCGATAGCGAATTTTCAAAGTTCCTCAGGAGGGGCACCAAATGTCAGGAGTTAGATATCAAAAGGCATTCAAGGAAAGCTCTTTTGAGTAATAATAATAATAATAATAATAATAATAATAATAATAATAATAATAATAATAATAATAATATTTATTTACTCTAAAATACAGGGAGCATGAAACGAGTAAATAAATATAATATATCCATAGGAGGACAACGCCTGTGCATGGATCATATGTATGTTGAATTGCAAAATATAATAAAATAGAGAGAAAAAAGAAATTATTGGTAAGAATGGTAGAGCATTTATTGTGTAATATTTGAGATTATTTTATTAATTTGATTTCTCCCAATCGTGTTAATAAATTTTTTTAATTTTTTTTGAAGCCTAATGTATTGCGTAATTGTTTTAAATTATTTGGTAAATGTTCGTACAATTTTGGAGCTATATACAGGTGACATCGTTTCATTAGGGATTTGTTTGGTTTAGGAACATTTTTTGCGCGTAATTTATATCTGGTTTTATGATTATGTTTAATTATGTCGTGTTCACTAATAGTTTTGTGATAATGAGTGATGGTATGTAAGAAGTAAAGTTGTTTAGTATCATATACTTGTGCATCATTATATAAGTCATTAGTTGGGTATAATTTTGATTTGCCTAACATTGATTTTAAAATTCTTCTTTGAAGTACATCTAAATCGTTAAAGTATGTCGTGCATGCAGCACCCCACACTACTATACCCTATGTTATGTGTGGCTCGACTAAAGCTTGATATATTATTCGTAGATAATATTCAGTTAATATACCGGTTAGAAATTTTATTTTATATGCTATGAATCTAATTTTCTTTAGTATGTGAGAAATATGTACATCCCATCTCAAGTGGGGATCTAGATAAATTCCTAAATATTTTGTATCATTAACTCTATTGATTTTTATATTTTTATGATTTACCTTAAACCGAAGGTGGTTATA